TATCTTACCTTAGCTGGTTGGATGAATCGCACTTATCTTACCTTAGCTGGTTGGATGAATCGCACTTATCTTACCTTAACTGGTTGGATGAATCGCACTTATCTTACCTTAGCTGGTTGGATGAATCGCACTTATCTTACCTTAGCTGGTTGGATGAATCGCACTTATCTTACCTTAACTGGTTGGATGAATCGCACTTATCTTACCTTAACTGGTTGGATGAATCACGCAATCTCTTTCCTTGAGTACGGTTCGATGTACGCCTTAACTGATTCTACGAACTTCGCGTGTCTTTCGTATCGGCAGAAATGATCGAAGCGAAGATTACATTTACATGTAAATAACACGTACGCTGTCTATTTTCAATTTCGTCGATACGAATTATCACAATTGTTTCTTAACTGGGAGTGTTTTTAAGGGAATGGGGCTCATATGCAGTGTTTTGTAAACGTTTCGACATCAGCTACACGAATCTGTAACAAAAACTGACGAGTTCCATTTGAAATTTTTTACGTTATTTGTATGCAGCTCGTAAGGGTCATTTCAAGGTCATGCCGTCTATGCCACATAATACATCTTTTCATACCATAAAAATTATGTCTAAGACATTTTGTCGAAAAATGAATAGTTTCGGAAATAATTGTTTGCTTCCATACTTTTTCCCCACCCTGTATATATATTTAAGATTAATTGTAACTTACCTATACATAGGCGCAATACATTTATGTTTCTCGGATTTCCCTTTATATTTGCTTGAAATGCAGCCTTCGACGAAGCAATATGCAACCATCTCGATTTTTTTTGGTCACGAATAGTTTCAGTCTTGGAATGTCTTGGAACTCTGAGCTGCTCTGAGCAAGTCTTTGGCTGCGGTCCACTTAGCGCTTCAAACGCTACAGAGTATTTGTAGCACTAACATGACTGGTCCATTTGACGCTTCGGAACGCTCCCAGCAACCCTGATACGTCATCAATACATCATCGTTTTCGCTCCCACTTCGCTCCAACTACCTCATCTCGGGAGGTGGGTTGGCTGGAGCGTTTACGTAGCAATTGTAGCATTCGGGACAGTAATGGACCAATCGGAGCGTAGCGTTTGGAGCGTAGCGTTCAGAGCATTTGAAAGAAGCAAGTGGACCGTAGCCTTTGACTACAGTCAAAGAAGCACGTTCAAAGGTGTCATGTGCCCTATCAGCTGTGACGTTAGTTCACGCATTCCTCAATTGGTCGATGGGGGCGCGACACATCTTGATAACAAGTCTGAAGTTGCTGCTGGCGTCCATATTATATAGTCAAAGAAACAAGTCGTCTGCTCCTGGCCTATATGAAGGCCAATGAGCTTTTTTTCTAAATTTAAATATCGTACTTGTCCCCCCTCCTTCACTCCTTTGGCGCGCGGTATACCGATGGGTGGCAGCAGGCGTCTGGATGCTGGGGCGTTACCGCTTTCGTTTATCACTATATCAGAATGACAACTTTATCGCGACTTATAACTAGCAACGCAGACCTCAGTGGCCTAGTTTTAACCAGTTGGTTGCCTGGCTAACACAGTAAGAAGAAGAATAAGAAGGAAATAGAAATCAAATCAATGATGAACGATACTTTAGAATTGGATTATGCTGAAATGCTTCGTTACATAGGTTTAGTCGTATCAGACGGTAAGTGTCCTAAATTTTACATTTGCATTTATGTCACGTATGCATTTATATTCGCGTTGAATCGTCAACAAAAACGAAAAGAACAAGGGTAACAAGTTTCTGGCTAACAAGTTTCACGTGTCTGTTCTTTCGCTCTAGATTGCTTAAGTTCGGAAATGATAGACGGCGTACCGATACGAAAATTGTTCATCAGTAATTTGGCTGAAAGGGTTTGTTTCTCAATTTTTAAGCCAAAACTATGTGTTCTATGCTTCCTGTTTATTACTTTTCACCTCGTGCCTTTTTCCTTTTTTGCGACCGTTTTTTTTTTCAGCAATCACGTTATTTTTCACATGTTATGTCTTGTCTCTTCCAAAGTTTGTCAACTTCTATCTGGAGTGACAGAAAGCGAAAAAAATGGATAAGAGGCAAAAAGGAAAGAAATAAAAAGTGGTAAAAAGCAACAGGAAACAAAGAGCATATGGTAGATGATACTTAATGCAGTAAGGATCTTAACATTTTGACAACCCACTAATACAATTGTACTGTATTTGTTTGATTTGTCTGACGAATTTTATTCCAGACAACTTTCAAGGATTTACGTGATTACTTTTCTATGTATGGAAATGTTGAGAGTTGCTATTTACGTAGAAATCATGGAAAAAGCAACTATGCGTTCGTCACGTTTACCAAAGTGGCAGATGCAATAACGTAAGTTTCAAGGAGGCTGTATTAGCAAATAACTGACAAACAGTGGTGGTTTGTAACCAATTGTTTGTAGAGCGATGCGAGATGGGAGTAGGAAACGAATACGATTGCATAACAGAGATTTAAGAGTGATGGCTGCAGATTCTTGGCATCAACCTGACAGTATGGAACAGAGATTGTATAATGTATAAAGAGTTGAACAAAATTTCTGAAAGAAAGGAACAATACGTTACAAATCACAAGTATCTGCAAAATGATACCGAAAATGTATCCATCCATATGCTGAATGACGATTGTTTAAGACATATCTTCCTATTTTTGCCAATAGTAGACAGAGTTCGTATAGAAATAGGTGAGTTTAAGCACAAGCATTAAAGATTTGGTAATTATTTAGAATACGGGTCTCATCTCCGATTTTGATGAAATTGGAAGCAGTGAATTTGTGTTTTTAAAGCAGTGAATTTGTGTTTGTGTGAAGCAAAGAATTTGTTTTTAAAGAAGTGAATTTGTGCAATTAAAGCAGAATGTATACATAGCGTTATATCGAGGCTGTGTTCATTTTGATGCCCACGACGCTTTAAGTGTCGTTTCCTTGTTATTTTTAAGTATTAAACAAGGACAATTGATGCTTACAAGCGCTGTGAGCGCCAAAGCGAGCGCAATAGCTCGAGTCGCGATGACAGATATCTTAACCTCTAAAATCTCGAACTTTAACGCTTGATATCTCGGTTTACGAGGTCGACCGCCGCATTTTTTTGCCAGATTCTTTCATTTTGAGTAAAAACGCGTTGAATGAGCCCAATTTCATCAACATTGGAGATGAGGTCCGTATTCTAAATAATTACCAAAAATTTTATACCTGTGACAGATTGTATTTCTTTACTTTTCTGTACTAGGAGATGGACTAGGATTTTTGTACATTGTTTCACCGTTATATTTACAGTTTGCAAACGCTGGAGAGATTTAAGCCAAGATTCATGGCATATGATAAAAACATTGGATCTCTCACCTTCTACATGGGGTTTCTCACACACCCATATGATTCATACAGCTTTACTTCGTAAAATATTGCTGAAATGTGGCAGATTCTTAACGCGAATAGACCTAGATGAGCCACTTCATTATTTAAGTCAAAGCACATTGACTATTATTGGAAAATTTTGTCCTAATCTTACATGTATCAATATTACTGCATTAACAGTTTGCGCATCAGGTATACGTACATTAGCAAATAACTGTAGAAACATAATCAAGTTTTGTTTAGGACCATCCACCTACAGTTGTGATAATGAATTAAAGTATCTCTTTAAGCTAAACCAAAATTTGGAGTGTCTTGTGATAACCAGAAATAATATTTTGGGTAAATCCTTATTATGCTTGCCAGAGCAAATTATGCATACAATTATATTAGACCGCTGCGACTATCTTCAGGACAATCATCTTTCAATGGTAAATCAATTCTTTTTTGCTAATTAATCACAATGGGATACATGTGGTCAGAGAATGGAAAGTTACTTTTTAAAAGTAACAAGTTATCGTTACTAATTACTGATTTTTAAAAGTAACTCGGTACAGTTACCGTTACTTAAAACGTAACTATTCATTACTTTTTCGTTATTTTTTAAAATCAGTTTAAAATAAGTGCTAAAATATAATCAGTCTAAACAATATACTTTTGCAATATTTTTTGCTTAAATATTGATAAAAGCAATATATAACAATGACACTAGCTTTATTTTTCAGTTTTTTCTTAAAAATAATTTCGTAATTCTGAAACCTGTAAGATATGCGGCGAACTGCGAGATATTTGTCCGACGTATCGCATAGAAGTATATAATGATTCTTGAAATAATGGTATATTTCTCAGCTATCAAAAACACTGCAGGGGCGCTGCAGCTAAGTATTTCAGAAATCACTTTATACTTCTGTATGATAAATATCTCAGTTTGTCACATATTTTACAGTTTTTAGGTTTATAAAATTGTTATGCTTTTTAAGGAAAAACTAATAAAAATAAAGCTTTACATAGCAGAGAGCCAAGTCTTAATATTTAAGTGAATACAACACATATCCAATTATGCAATCTATACACACCAATTAAATTTTCAATCTTGAAACGCTATTCGGCTGATATTTTTCACAATAAATTTTTCATAGTACTTTAAGATGCTTATCAACTTAAATATGACATTAAATTACTTGTAAATTTAATTTGTTATATTACTATTCCAGTTTTAATTAGGATTGCATTTTAAAGATAGAAAATTTTATTGGCGCGCAATTTGCAGAATTTCATGTTATATATACAAATTTATTCTAATATATTACGCACAAAAATTAAGCTCGGATGAAAATTTCTCTTTTTAAAAACAATAAGTTATCTTAAATTTATTAATAAATGAACTAATCACAGAGGCATATTAACATTTTAAGACATTAAAATGGTCTTGAAATCAGAACAAATCATGAATACTATATCTAAAGACTAAAGATTGAATAAACGAAAATTATGTCATAAATATATTAGGTTCAAAATACAAAAAATAACTAAAATTCGTTACCGTTATAATTACCAAAAAAGAATAGTAATGCAGTTACCAGTAAGCTACCAAGAAAAGTAACTTGTAACTGTAACTTTGTTACAAGTAACGAGTTATTTCCATTCCCTGCATATGTTACAATTCAGTACTGCAACTGTTCACACGTGTGCGTGCATATGCAGACCAAACATGACAAACATATGCCTTGATATATGAGCTCATTAAACGGTCAGTGAATGGTTATGATACTGACAAGGGAAGTTTCACAACTGTCCGGAACCGATTTGATTCTCCATGAAATATGTTGTTAAACATGAAAATCTAAGAGACACGTATTTTTTTTATACGTGCGCTAATTCATATTTAAGGGGTAAAATGTATAAAAAAATACGTGTCTCTTAGATTTTCATGTTTAACAACATATTTCATGGAGAATCAAATCGGTTCCGGACAGTTGTGAAACTTCCCTTGTGAGTCAGCACCCAATTAATATCATGTCATGTGCAGGCTCTGAGGAAACTTGAAAATTTGACACATCTTGCAATAAACGAATGTGTCGGCATAGCTAAACATACGTTGGAAATTATCGGTCAACATTGTAAAAATCTTAGAATATTGGAGCTTAATGGAAACTTTCCCTCTGCACAAACAGCGGACATGTTATATTTAGTCCACCTTGTCAATCTGCACGATTTAAAAATCACGTATAATCCTAAAGTATCGGATGATTTCCTTACTGATTTAGTACAACATTGTCAGCAGCTTACCAACGTAGACATTACAGGTAAATTGCAATCGTAATACATATGTGTATGTATACTTTTTTATATTTGTCATTTTTCAATTATATCTTACATATCCAACAGGTTGCTGTAATGTGAGTGATGCTGGATTAGCGGCTATTGCTACGTTAGTAAGGCTAGAAAAATTGATCGTCAGTTATATACATCAAGTTACTGACGAAGGTTTAAAAAACATGTGTGGCTTGAAAGAATTGGAGTGCCGAAGATGTCCATTTAGTGATCGGGGCATAACAATGCTCATAAAGTCCTCGCCCCAATTAAAATTGTTAGATCTCTCCGGATGCAGATATATCAAGGACTCCACCCTCGAGGTTGCTAAAGATGCTTGTAGCAGTCGAACTAATAATGTGATGTTGAAGATGATAATTGGGGGAACAGCAATTTTCGATCTCTTTGGTTTAGAGAGATTACCTCCACTATTGCATATAGTTAATGTTGATTTGTCTGATCTTAGTAGTGTGTCTACTATGTATCTCGTGGACGATCTGGAATCTTGGCACGATGAAGATTCAGATTATACGGAATATTCCGATTATACAGAATATTCCGACTAGAGAGAATTAGGTCATTAGTGGTATACTGATTCGGATTCTTAAGAATATTTGTATCACAATTTTCCATGATTCTAACCGATTTTTTCTACAATGGATTTCTAGCTGGATTAGAATCTTACCATTGTATTGGCTGCGATGCTGACAATGCATTGCAGCATCACAGTCAATATGGTGTCAAGAATGTAATTCAGCAGGGAAAAAAGCATCGTGTCCCGCCGGCTTCAGCATTTATCGTCATTGAGGTTTTTAATGCCTATTTTATAATTGCGTAAGCATATAGTTATAAGTGGTTGTAATTGTAAAAATTGACCAATCACAGTCACATATTCTTTTCATATTTGACTGTGATTAATCAATTCTTACAACTACAACCACGCTTACAATTATGCTTACGGCTATTGTACAACAGGCATAATGTTTGTTTCACAATAGTCGTAAGTGTAGTTGTAAGAATTGACCAACCACAGTCGAATATTCTCATATTTGACTTGATTGATCAATTCTTACTACAACCATTTACAACTACACTTACGACTATTGTAGAATAGACATAAGATTTTGCATATCTTGTTACTAATAATGATTGACTTTACATATACTTATTCCTATGAATATATAACGCTACAACCAAATTAATGAATACACACACGATATGTATATATATTTTTTTTAAATTTCATTATATTATGCGATAATAAAGTGCAATACATTTACACATGCACGCATACGCATGCGCGCTCACACACACACCCACACACCCATCACACACACACACACACACACACACACACACACACACACACACACACCCACACACGCACACACACATTGTACATATATTATACTAAATTTGTTATATTACGCGATAATAAAGTGCAATAGAATAAAGTTCTGCAAACGTAAATTTGATGTACTATAAATTGATACCAGTTTCATTATACATACCTGTATATCTGATTTTTTCTTAGGGAACAATTTATTCTCATTCCTTCTTACTCTCTTCATTCTCAATATATCATTATTACATATAGTTGTACACTTGGGTTTTCAGATATCGAGTATGGAATTACAACATCGATGATTTTATTGTATTTATAATTAATAACGTTTAGACAATGAATCAATACAACTGCAATTATTTTATGCACATATGTATATGCAACAAGGAATGTGCACATATTTTAATAAGTGCTAGGAATTACGAACTTTTTGCGCAAAATTATGAATCGTCGCTTGATAAAATTGCTAAATTATATTGGCATTTCCATACACTTTACGACACGATCTTTTCATGGATAACTTTTAATCGTGTATATTGTCTTCCTATGATAGATAATAGAAACCATTTTACAACAATATATGCATTATATGCGTTTTATATATATATATATATCCTTACTATTATATATTATTGTATTAATCGCGATATAAACGTAACATGATTTTAATTCTTGAGCGTCTTACGCTCTTGCAGATACACATACACACATGGAGAAGTATCTCACAACGGCACACAAGTATTACAATATGATACTCGTAATACTTCAATCCGGTGATTTTTTAGCCAACTCTGAGACAGTTATTACATGTAATACGAGACTAACTTGTAGATTACATCTACAAAATATAATATTCTGCATAAGACATTTCAACGAACGACAAATCGATCATAATGGGTGCGTTCCGTTTCATGTATGATGCGCATGATGTATCATTTTATCTTTTTTTAATATTCAATGAACAAGGATAAAATGATACATCGTGCATGAAACGGAATGCACTTAATATTTAGCATATTCGCAATCTATTCGTGTTTCCTCATAACGATTTCCTATTGCACTGTTTATGTAATAGTATACATTCCCTATGATGAAATATGTCCAGTCTGTCAACTTTTATACCAATAATAACATAACCGTTAAATAAGCATTGCATAATTGAATATCTGTTTAAATAGCGGAAAATTACAATAATTTACATATAATGACGCATACAAAGTGATAATAAGACAATATTGAAATGAAGAGAAATTCAACGATAATTTAATTTTTCAAATATTCGTAAATTTCACACAAGTTGGCCATTAATAACTTGCCGTAAAATGGCAAGACATTTTTCATAAAAATTGCACAATAAGATTTGACATGCAATTGGTTATACAAAAGATCAATCCTTTTGTTGCAGTTGGGTCATGTATATATGCACGCATGCGCATACGCACGCACACACAGACACACATTTGGATATGAATTGTTGATGGATAATAGCAATGAAGAAAATAGACCTATACCTATGTATATATATATGTTTTTCATTTTTATTATTCATCAACAAATAATAATGTGAGATACTTCATTCTATAACTACTATCATGCATTTTATATTTTTAAATTAATGTGAAATACCGACAATAAATCCAGTCTTTATCGCACATTTAGCACTAGGAAGGAATCGAGAATATCACTCACTGTATGCACATATATTTTGCAGCGAAAGAATTCATAACGTAATATTTTAAATCCTATCGAGTATATAAATAACTCAAACCATGTTATGAATATTTCATTATTCGTAATGTAAATTACAATTATGTGAAAAATGAGACAAGTTTTTTTTACTTTGTATGTTTGTCATTGAAGGATTGATTATGCGATGATAGTTGGTCTTTTACATCTTAAATGTACATAATAGTCTATTAAATGTGAGTTTATATATTAATGTTAATAAATTTGCAAGACTTTTTATAATCGAAAGCGAATTAATTTTAAAGACTTGAATTATATTATCAAAATATTCTCTCTAAATTGCCTTTTTTGAAAATGATTACTATTACTATACTATATAGTGTAAAAAGCGCGTGTGTTTGCGTTTTGTGTTTCTATGGGGTGTGTGTGGGTGTGTGTGTGTGTGTGTGTGTGTGTGTGTGTGTGTGTGTGCGCGCGCGCGCGCGTGCGTGCGCGTGCGTGCGTGGTGAGATGTGCGTGCGCGCATACGATTAAAATTAAAGACATGTGTTAATTCGTATGTGGTATGCACAACGCGCGTGCGAGTGATTGAAAATAAAGACAGCAACCGCGTGTTTAATCAAAGTTATGCACTGATACAAAAACAACGGTTTAACATGATTAAAGATGAAATTTTTGATCGTGTAAATAACATTTCTATGGATGTCAGGTACAAATCTTATACAAGTAACTAATTAATTTTCTCAAATGATGTTCGTAGGTTTAATGCTCATTCGCGCATCCTAATATCATATCATGGGGAACACAATTTGCCCATGAATCTAATAATAAACTTATATTGCAATTTGTGTGTCATCTTACATACTTTTAACAGAAGCATAAGACGAACACGTAAAGTGAATCTTGTGAATGAAATTAATATTTGGCACAGTGGCGTGCTGTGCGTGTAAATTATTTGGACAAGCAAAGTCCGAGCGAAACACGACGCATCCGATCCGCAAGACAAATGTTTCCTATACATCATGGTGATACTTGACGAATTATTACACGTATTACAATGTAGTCGTTTCTCCCTGTAAAAATCAAGAAAATGACCAAGATGCATAACAATGTGATATCAATCGAATTCCTTATGACTGCTTTCATAAGTAAAATCTGAGTAATCATTTGCGTAACGCACTCAACAGTCAACAGTGACACGATGTTCATTTGATACAGTCAACGGACTTGGCGCACCTACTAAAAACGTAGATGTATTAATTTCGTAAAAAGATATTGCTAGAGGAGGGAACATGAGAGATATATACGCCACTGTTTGGTCGAATGAAAACCTAGATGAACCAAGGCGTAACTTAGGAGTACTGAACGCGAATATACGTAGTCAAGTATGTAAGAGTTACATTTATTCAGGATTGCACGGTCGATAAGTGTGTTGGCGTAGACGGCTCTAGGTCCATAGTACGACATACCCATCCAGCGAGATCTACGTTTTCTGATTCAGCTTTCCTTATCCACTCATGATTCTGAAACACACCATCAGAAAATAAAATTTTTCCGTTTTCCTTTCTGTCAAACTATCAATATTTTTTATTCGAGTAAAACATACCGTTAACGTTTTTAAATCTGCTCTATCATTTGGGTTCCTCTTTAAACACCGATCAATGAAATCTATGAAAGCGTTGCTGAATAATCCGGATGGCAGTCTTGGCGGTGGTTCATTGACTATCAATTCTAACAGCTCGAATACCGCTAACGGCTTAGGAGTGTGCGTGCCTACGATAATAAAGAATCAAGTCGATTAATATTCAAGAACACAACTTTTTTTCATGATGAAGAAAAGGCGAATAAACGAATGAACGCTCATGCAAGTACTGACAACGTCTCGTCGGTGGTCGTGGAGGCGGCGTGGAGGATTCGCTAACTGTTGTCGGATTCTCCCCAGCGTGTTGCATCCATTCCGAACCAAATATAGAAGCTAAAAGCTTATCATCCGGCGGTGGAATAGGATACATCCCAATCGCCATTTCCACGAGTGATACACCGAGCGACCAAATGTCGCTTTGCACTGAATAATGTGATCCTTGGAGTCTTTCTGGCTGAAAACGCTCGATATAAGATACGCTCGGGGCATATTGACACACGTAATATCACGAGCGTATAATCCACGCCAAGCTTACCGACATATAACTTCGTGTGCCGACGAACGAATGAGCCATCGAATCGATCAGTTGTCCAGAAACGCCAAAATCGCAGAGCTTGATTTCACCCGCGCTGTTTACCAAGATGTTGCTTGGTTTTACATCTCGATGCATTATGGCGTGTTTATCTCGTAAATAAGTTAAACCTTTCAGAACCTGTAAAGGAGAAACAAAAGTTTGCAACAACATATCATAAACAAAAAAAAAAACGAACAAAATTGGCACGATGCGAAAAGTTGGCAATGGAATGATGTGGTTATAATTATTATAATTATAATTATAAAAGAAGGAAAAAAAGAAAAAACAGGAAAAGAGGTAGAGGTACGTTTTTTGCGTCAATCATATAAAAACGTTTCGATATCAAAAATGTTTGTCGCGTTAAAAAATGCAGGGCAGTTCGAAGACGCAACAAATCATCATTATGCAGCAGCCGACTCGCGTGTCTTCTATCTCGCATCAACCGATTCGCGCATCCACCATACACCTACATAAGAAGAAGCTGACCGAAGAGGAGATACAAGAATTGCATCAGGAATTGGAGACCATCGATCATGTGATAACACTGGAGATTTTGTGCGAGAGGTTGGGCACAAACGCGGAAACGGGCCTGACGAACGAGCAGGCGCGCAAAACCAGGGAACGAGATGGACCAAACGCCTTGTCACCGCCCAAGATCACGCCAGAATACATCAAATTCTTTAAATGTATGTTCCACGGATTCGCCGCATTACTCTGGGTCTGCGCGATTCTATGTTTCATCCTGTACGCAGTCACTCATTTCATGCACGAGGATGACATCGGTATCGCATGGCTAGGAATAATCATCGTTATGATATGCATCATCTCGGGGGTGTTTGCGTACATACAGGAGAGTAAGAATATTAAAGTGATGGAGTCCTTCAAAAAGATGGTGCCCACTTTCGCTACCGTGATCCGCGACGGTGCAAAACTGCGCCTGGGTACAGAAGAGCTAGTCTTGGGAGATCTGATAGAGATACACATGGGCGATAAGATACCAGCCGACGTCAGAATAATCGAGTGTCACGGGCTCAGAGTTGAGAACTCGAGCATAACTGGCGAGAGCGAACCGGTGGCGCGCACCAATTATCCAACCGACAGAAATCCTCTCGAGTCCTCCAACATGGCCTTTTCCACGTCATTTGCTGTCGCGGGTGACGGCAAAGGAATCGTGATCGCCACGGGTGACTGTACTATGATAGGCCGTTTGGCCGGTCTCACGTCGCACCTCGTCAAAACCGAGACGCCAATCGCTAAGGAGATTAGGCATTTCGTCGAGATTATCACTATTGTGGCCGTTCTGTGCGGCCTGGCATTCTTCGCTCTGTCACTGCTGATTGAGCCCAGTCTCGTACGGGCGTTTATCTATCTACTCGGCATAGTTATCGCCAACGTGCCCGAGGTACTGCTGGTGACCGTAACGACAGTTTTGACACTGACCGCTCAGAAAATGGCGAGCAAGAACTGTTTGGTGAAGAACCTGGAGGCGGTCGAGACTCTAGGCTCGACATCGGCGATCTGTTCCGACAAAACGGGCACACTCACGCAGAACAAGATGTCTGTGTCTAATTTGTGGTTCGGTCACACCAGGTATAACTTTCCACCGGGCGAGAGAATTGGCGTCGAGAGGGATTTGCTATTAGAGAAGCCAGCTTTTGACGTGATGCTACGAGCTGCCACCCTCTGTTTGCGTGCTGAGTTCACTGCAGAGTCCTTCATGCTGGCACCGATCGAGGAGCGCGAAATTATCGGTGACGCATCCGAGACCGGTATCCTCAAATTCTGCGAGCACATTCATTCTACGCAGAGATATCGCGGGGTACATCCGAAAGTTGCCGAGATCCCCTTCAGCTCCATAACCAAGTATCAAATGTCGATACACCGAGACACTAATGGTTATACGATGATATTGAAGGGCGCACCAGAGGTGATTATGGAAAATTGTACAACGATATTGACGGCGACCGGGGAAACGGAAGAGATGACCGCCAACGATCATGCGGTATCTCGCCGTGCTTGCACCGAACTGGGTTACCTCGGTGAGCGAGTTCTAGCGTACTGCGATCTGCATCTGCCCACCAATATGTACGGACCAAATTACAAGTTTGATACCGACTCGCCCGCGTCTTATAACTTTCCTGTCAAGGGATATAGATTCGTGGGACTGATAAGTCTGCAGGATCCCCCGAGGCCTGGTGTGCCCGAGGCGGTACACAAGTGCCGTACCGCCGGTATAAAAGTGATCATGGTGACGGGTGATCATCCGGTGACGGCGATGGCGATTGCCAAGAAGGTGGGTATTATAAGTGAAGGTCACGAAACTCGTTACGAACGAGCGATTCTGCAAAACAAGTCTTACACGCAAATGACCGATTCCGCGGTCGATGCCGGCGCGATCGTAATTACCGGTGCCGAATTGAGGAACATGAATGCAAGCGAGCTGGACAACGTTATACGCCGTTACGAGGAAATCGTGTTCGCGAGGACGTCGCCACAGCAAAAGCTGTTGATTGTCGAGAGTTGCCAACGGCTGGGAGAGATCGTCGCGGTCACCGGCGATGGTGTCAACGATTCACCGGCATTGCGGAAAGCCGACATAGGAGTAGCGATGGGGATTGCGGGCTCCGACGTTGCCAAGAACGCTGCGGATATGATACTCATGGACGACAACTTTGCGTCGATCGTGACCGGCGTTGAGGAGGGTCGTCTGATATTCGACAATTTGAAGAAGTCGATTGCGTACACGTTAACGTCGAGTGTGCCGGAGATGTTGCCCATGTTGAGCGGCCTATTATTCGCGATTCCTCTACCATTGGTTATTGAACTGGTCATCTGTATAGACGTCGGCACTGACGTGGTCCCTGCGATTGCTCTGGCCTACGAGAAGGCCGAGTCCGATATAATGCGCCGGGCGCCGAGAAACCCACAGTACGACAAGCTGGTAAACAAGCGTTTGATATCCATCACCTACGGCCAGATAGGAATGACGCAGGCGTTCGCTGGATTTTACACTTACTTCATGGTGCTTATGATGAATGGCTTTATGCCCGATCGTTTGTTAGGTTTACGACTAGAATGGGAGAACCCATCCATAAATGATCTACAAGATTCCTGGGGCCAAACATGGACCTACAAAAACAGAATGAATCTCTTGATGGAAGCGCAAAGCGGATATTTTCTTTCCATCGTCATAACTCAAATGATAGATCTGGTCATGTGTAAAACCAGGTGCAATTCCATCTTTCAACAAGGAATGAGCAACTGGTTTGTCAATTTTTCATTCGTTTTCGAAGTTATTCTAACAGGGCTCTTGCTTTATGTTCCAGGCACGGAATACGTGTTGAAGACTATGCCACTGTTAGCTTACTGGTACTGGCCTTGTTTGCCACTCGGTGCATTTCTTTGGATCTACGACGAATTGAGACGTTTATGTATTCGTCTCTTTCCAGGTGGAATTATGGAAAGAGAAACGTACTATTGAAACTATTTTTTCTTCCACAGAGAGGATGCACTGTTACGCACGCAGAAAACCATCCACCAACCCACACAGCAGATGTGATCAAAATACATCATAGAGATATCTTAAAGACATATTTGGGGTATGTGATATCTTTAGAATATCCTTCTAATGTATTTCGGATATTTCTGCTCTATGGAAAGTAACTCGTATTACTCGTAACGATTCGTTACAGACGTGTCGTTACCTGTCTCTCTATGGATATCTCATGTTTCAGGCGTTTTATTACGATCAGTCGATCAGAGATAACTGTTATATTTATTACTACAATTTATTATTATTAATTGAAAAAAAAGCAATCGTTATCACGACAGAATTTATCCTAACTGCGAGATCCTGTTTTTCTCTTTTCCTCTTTATTTATATCAATAATAAAAGACTGACTTACAGCACATGTGATTGTACTTATCATGGATTCTGGAATTCGTCCCGCTTTTTTCATTATTAGGTCTAACGATCCACCATCCATATATTCCATACATATACAAATTTCTCCCCCACTGAAAGAGATAGTATACATATATAGCTGCTGTAGCAGATTTAGCACTATATCAGAGACTCTGTGTGTGCACGCACATACGCACACCCGCGTGCATGTGTAACATTATATATGCATGTAAGCAAATGTGTCACAAGGAACAATCCTGTTAAAATGTAAACAATTTTTAAAAGTTTACCTGCAAAAAGCGCCATAAAATCCAACTATATGTGCAAAGTTACATTCATGAAGAACTTTTAATTCTCTAATTATTTGCTTCTTGATAGGTGGCTTCACTTCCAAGCGTATTTGCTGAAAAATTTGGGACCAAAATGCTAATGAGTACATTGTAAATGTCTCTGAATCTATATATAATGATTAAGTATACAATCATTTACCTTCATTGCCATTATAAGACCATATTTTTTATGTTTGACTTTTGTAACAACGCCACCATTCCCCGAACCTAATTCACCTAACTTTTCAAAATCTTCGCCGCATAGTTCTCCAACTTTTTCTTTTTGTCCCAGAAAGCTCTCTAGTCGTTTCTTTTGTTCCTCATCCATTTCTAGATCTTCTAGTCTTGCTTGAAGAGTATCAATATTCAATGTGTCCCTCATGCCGCTGCAAAAAATTTAGTGTTATAATTATATGATGACAAATTTCCAGATAATAATTTCAAAACGACAGAAATCTTTCAAACACAAACAAGCTCATAAGAATTAATTTATGAAAATTTCGCAACTATTTCAATTAATAAAAAATGAATTAAGGTTGAAATCTTCAAAGTCATAAATGTTTTACAACATAGAGCACATAGAGCTTGCTTAAAGTACTTCATATAAAGCTGATTCTAAAATGAGGTGACAGTTGCTAATCCTAAGTCTTATTAGTAAATTGGTAAACAGCCAATTTGTATGACTAAGACTACCGATTTTCTTAAGATTGACCAAATTCGATTTTATTCTTTTCCATTAGTCAAGTTAAACGCTAAACGACTCACTGTACAACTAACAATTCATAGATGCAAAAAATCATAGTCACCTGTTTAGATCAAGACTTAAAATTTCCGACTACCCACTTATTGTAGAATCAGCATAAGTGTTCTATGTGATTTTTACATCAAAGTTCTGTAGTGAGATAGGAACATTGTACACTGTTAATATATATAATGTGATTGTAAATTGTTAATATATATATATCTATAAACAATTTTCATTGCATTGTACTACATATATGTTAAGAGTGTATGTGTAACATACATACATACATACATACATACATACATACATACATACATACATACGTACGTACGTACGTACGTACATTTTATTACATGAAAATAATATTACATAAAAATAATAAAACATCCTTGTTCGTGGACTTACTCAGGCATCTCTGGAGGTTCCGGATACGCAGGCGGAACCGGCGGTGAAGGAGATGCTTCTGGTACTGGTTCTATCGAGCCAGGTGGTAATGTTAAGTTGAGTTTGTTTTTTGACATTTGGTGATTGGCCGTTTAAAAGTATTTTGAAGAGAAAACACTACGTGAGATTATCACTTAACACAGACGTGAACTTGCGGATCATGTAAGATTAATCTGTCTCATCTATCTCATTTTTCTTTCAAGCGAATAACGCAAGATCTATGAGACAACAAAAAAATTTACCGTGTCCGTCAATTTTTCGCAATTTTCGCGCGAATCACAATATTCGCGCGAATCTCGCAGTTGTATTCATCGTTTGTTCTCTTCGCATGCATTCATAAAGGGAAACGTTCGTTCAATACTTAGTATACGTTGCTAATAAGAACGAACTGCCAAATCACAAATCTCTTTGTTATTTAAAGTTTTCATTATTCAGTAAGAGATACGTTTTTATCACGCGTCAGGTCCTGGTAATCGTCGAGTATATGTTAACAATGATATATGTCGCTAACCTAAGCGATAGGGGGTGTGGAACACTCACGAAAAGCGAAGAAGAAAGGTTATGCGAAACTTCGCGGGAACCACAAAAGCGAACATATCTAGTACCACCACCTAATGAGCGCATTCAGCGGACTCAACAGTTAAGTGAGCGCTCGCTGGGCTTATTGGTGTATTCTTTTAGCTCATCTAATCAGAATTTTAGATCTAAAAGAATACATCAATAGCACAGTATATACAGTAGCGCAACTCTCTGTCGGTACCTTTGATGTCGCGTTGATAAAAATGAACTGCACATGCGCGAGCGAGGTATGTAACCAATCAAGGCATTGATATTCCATCTCACTTCTTCTCTCTGTTGTAACCTTTTAGCGGGGAGCACAGACTCTTGCATAACACATAAGGCATAAGAAATTCATCCAATCAGAGTTTTTTATTTCATGGAAAGGAAGGAAACGAAGGACTTTGATTGGTACATTTTCTTATGTATTACGTGTTATGCGTTATGCAAGAGTCTGTGCTCCCCGCTTTTCTCTTTTTCTACTTTATTGCATAAGGTCTGTTCTTTTTCCATTGTAATGGCCGCAGCACACTCTTGCATAACGCATAATGCATAGTGTATAAGGGAATCGACCAATCGAAATTCTTCTTTTCCATGGAATGGAAGGAAAGGAAAGATTCTGATTAGTTGATTCGCTTATGCACTATGCGTTATGCAAGAGTCTGTGCTGCGGCCTTAAGTTCTGAACTGGTGTACATACACTGATGCAATAAGTTCAGAACCTTCGAAAAATAACAGACCTACACAATATACGTTATATTTAAAACAGAAAATAAATGAAAATAGAAATGAAACATGATAGATATACATTTATTTCTTAGGAAATATAAGGAGATTCGTACTTATACTTAACCTTTTTTTATTTGTAATGATAGTCAGAGTTACAAAATATAAACGCAATAAGAGAACTAAAATGGATGAAGACGAGTTTTTTTATTTTAACTGATCGATATTACTTAATCTCCAATTTGAAATATTCTTCCTTTACTGTTAAAAAAAACGGTGTTAAATTTATTTTTTGAATTTCTT